GGGGCTGTCTGGAATCTTGAATCTTGAATCTTGAATCTGGGGGGAGTTACATATGTATTTTTGTGGGGTGTCATGTGTGGAGAGAACGCATAGATTCTAGAATTGTAGAAGAAAGGGGCCCGGGGAAGGAGGGCTAATCTTCTCTCTTGGTATACGTATCTCTTGGTTACAGGAAGCGGAGCTCGACTCGAGGGGAAGGAAGGGGGGGAGCTCGAGGGGGGGGGGAATCATAAGAATTGTGCATGATATATAACAGCTTCGAATTTTCTTCTAGATCTAGATATTGTATCGAAGCAATATTAATTTGTAGATTGGTATTGGTACCTTGCATGCATATGTTTGAAGTGGGTGAATATGTGGTATTCTATGTGTATATATATGCAGTTCTGACGTCGTACATGTACAATCAATTCGAGAATTTGTACATACATGTAACGAGAAGATGATTCTTGAGGACTTTTTATCTCTTCATGCTCCTATGATCATGATGGTTTAAGTGATGATAACACAAGATATGGATGGGGTGGGAGAGGGGATGGGGGGGGGGGGGTGGTTACACGTTTATTCGATCATGAAGCAAGCGGTGTTTGGTGTGGTGGTGTTTGGTATAGGTGGTATTATAGCTATATATTTGGCTATAGCTGGGCGGTATGTTGATATAATGCCTCATGATATTACTTGGTGTCACGAGAGCGCATGTGTCTCGATAAATGTGATTTGGTTGCAAGAAGATATGTAAGTGATTACGGTGAATTTGACATTCCCGTCGGCCCTAGTCTCATTCCCGGTGGTAGAAAGCTATTCCCGTTGGTTCAGCGTCGAGAGTGGGTCCAGCGCAGATGTTGCCCAATGCGGTAGTAAGTGATAAGTGAGCAGTAGCAGTCTGACTGGCACGAGGGCTAGGAGTGGCCCAAGAATTCAACCAAGTCTCAAGTTGTCTCGCTTCCCCAAATCTCTAGACTCTTGCCAGTCTCCAACCGTCCAACCATCCGAATACGATTACGACTCGGGACGAACTTCGATTAGCAAGCTTAAGCGTCACATCAGCACTTGGATATCGATTCGGCCTAGCTGGACACACGCGATGAGGCGACACGACATCATAGACGAACAACTGCAGCTACGGATAGGTGGATACCATCCTCGCAGCAAGGAGAATTAATACAGCCAGTGGATATGAACCATCTGAGACGGAAGGGTTCACGAGTCTATGATTCAAGGCTGCAGAGTGCAGAATATCAAACACATTGGGGGGTAGAAGCCCAGGCGACTATTCTGCTAATTCGCCAGCATTCATGATATCCGACCTACCTATTTTTACAGCCCGGCCAGCGCATACAAATGATATACGAGTAGGCAGCCAGATAACATATGCGATCGTCGGTCACGCAGTCTCGACTCGTGTGAGTGTGATTGTGCTCCTGAAGCCCGCGGCTGCTTGCTGCCCCACTCGGCATTCGAGATCAGCGCCACCGCCCAGAATGTGTGGCTAACTACGCGTCCAGCCAACAGACCGTCAAACGGCCACCGTTGCTGCGGTGGCTGGTGATAGCTGCGACTTCCTGCTGCGGCCCCTGGCGGCCCCTGCCGCTTTCGGTGTTTCAGGAACCAGGCCTGCATCCACTCACAGTCTCAAGATGCTCCCCACCCACCATGACCCCAGTCCCCTTGACCTCGCTACCCCATCACCATCACGAATTCGCCGCTCCGCCCTGCTGGCATAGGCCTTCCTCGCCGCAAAATGTCGATACACAGCGCCTCTTATAAATCTCGTCGGCATAGCAGGGAAAGGAATAGTAGCGGCGGGAGGTGATGGCAAGCTACTTTCAGGTCGGCATGTTTCCCGCACCTTACGCTACGGCAAGGCCCAAAACCGTTCAGTGTGTGGCGAGATGAAAGATGCTACAAAACCACATCGAGGGCGTCCCGCAAGTCTATTTGGGGATGACTGCTGGCTCCCCCGCTCGATATGGCCGACTGCTACGCTGCTCCGAGCCAAGTGTGACAATATTGTAAATTCCGCGATATCGCGCAACTTAATCCGATGGCCAATGAGATTGGGTCCCGGCAAGTGTCCGCCGGGTTGGCATCGTAGTGCTGGGATGATCTTTTCGGAGCGACAGCATATCATACCCGATTAATTTCTACCGGTTTCGCCATAGAATTAGATCAACTTTTGAGCTTGTATGGAAGCCGACTGGACCGGAAGAGATTTGAAGGGGCCTCGAAAGATTGATATTCATCAAAAATGAGAAAAGTAAATAGACAAGTTTAGATTGTCGTTTCTTTCTACAATCATCTGTTCGGCTCTGGGTTGGATACTGGAATCGGCTTTTGGGCGCGGAGCAAATGTGTCCGTTCTCTTTACTACGCACAAAAGTCGTTTTGGGTGGTGTTTGGGATCCGTCAGACCCGGGCACTGAAGGTTGATTGGCGGTTCTGCACTGCGAGACACCCCTGAAAAAAAAAACGCCGCCAGTTATTCATCCCTGGTTGATCTGTCGCAGCTCGTCGCCCGATTTTGGGTTGTCATCAAATCGGGCACCGCACCTCAGACTAAGCTTGCTCTGCCGTCGTGATACGACGACCCCCGTCAGCTCGTGTGTGTGAGTGCGGCGGTCGATGTATGGTTTGTTTTGCCTTGCTTTGCCTCCCTAATTACTTCTTTTCATTTATCCTCTTCAATACCGTCTTCCCCGACTCTCTTTGTTGCGCTTCGCTCGCTTCATCCTTCACTCTTTCTACCCCGTCCTGTATACACACGTCCCCTGGTGGTGATTGTTGTCACTTTTGGTCCGCTCAGACCTATTACTTTCTTTTACAACCACATTTGAACAACGGCTTCGCATAATTTTTTTGCGGCGGGACGGTCCGGAACAAGAATAAGCTCAGGCCTTTCACTTTCATTCCTTCTCAATCAACATTCCCTTTCATTTTAGCGGAAGCTGCAAGCATTGCCAAAAACAGAATCTAGCCTATCTCTAGAGCAGAGTAGAAAACAGTCAGAGGAATTGAAAAATCCTACAATCCGGCTTTTGCAATCTTACGAAGAATTTCAAATCACTACCTTCCTTCTACTACTCCTACTCCCGCCATAATGAATACCCAACAGCAAACCCAACGGTTACCACAAAATAATCACAAGTCGATAAACACACTCACACTCAACCCAACTCCACGATTACAATCCCTCCAATCCCTCCCCCTCCTCTCCCCAAACCGTCGGCCGACACCTACCGGCCTCCCAAAACAACTCGGCATGTTGACAATCACACGATACTCTTCCCACCTCACAGCCCACAACCCAAACCAAAACTCGGCAAATTCAAATCATTTACAAATCTCCCCGGCCGTATCCGAAAGCTATGATATCGAGGATTACTACGATGAAGAGCAGCAAGGCGGCGGACAGGGCCCGTATGCGTATGAGGATGAAAGCGAGTTTTATAGTCCAAAGGATCGGGATGTCTATTATGATGAGAATACGGATGGTGGGGTAGGAGATAACGCACAACAAGGACAAGAGAATAACTTACCGCCTGTGCCAACGTATTCGGAGAGTCAGATGGCGTATTATCCACATGGGATCAAAAGGCTACCGCACTTCCATCCACAAAAGTTCTCAAGGAGGTTAGTTTTCTAATTTCTGGGAAATTTATCTGTTTTTTCTACAAAATAAAGTTTACTAACATGTATATTTTTTTTCTTCTAGACTCCGCACCCTGATGGACCAACGCCGGAAACCCTGCCCACTTTACCTCGACGTGGAACCAAACACAAAGATCTTCCTGGACACACCACTACTCCCACAACACAACCCCCTACAGTCTCCTCGGCGGTCAAATGTTCTGCAATCGCTGCTGAGGATACTGTTTCCTAGGCTGCAGGTGTATCGACAGGTTGACCAGCAGGAGGAGGATGTGGAGAGGTATGCGGCTGTGGATGAGGATGAGAGTTGGTGGGGGAGCATTGATCACCGGGTGGTGTTTATTGGGATTTTGGGACTGCTGTTGCTGGGATTGTCGATTGCGGCGTGGACGATAGCGGTGTTGAGGGCCTGAGCGGCTACTTCTTTTTCTTCTTATTATGGAGAGGAGGGTGACTTTTTCCATTGGGATTGATTTATGGACTTGGAATTGGGACTGGAAATTTGGGAATTGGGTATTTGGATTGGGATGGGTTATTGGATATTTGGTATAGGATATTTGGGACTGGGAATGGGAGATGGTTTCCTTCGGAAGATAACGAAAAAATCAACAAAAAAGTGGGGATCTGGATTATATCGAGATGAGGTTTCTCGCCCCCCCACCCCCCCACCCCCCACACCCCATCCTCAACTTCTCAAACGTGGGATTGTTTATATTTCTTTTTCCTTTTTCTTTTGTCTGTCTGTGTGTGCTTGCTGGCTCGCTCTCCTTTCTATCTTTTCTTTCATTCTTGGGATCTGGGATTTCGGCGGTGTTTTTTTTCTTTCCGATTTTTTTCTTTTGTTTATTCATACACCCACTTGATGGCCTGCGAGACTTCGTCTTGAGCCTTTCTTTTGAGTTGAGGCATATTTTATCTCACCTACCTAACTCTCCAAAAAAAAACCTTTAATCATACACTACCTATGTATCTATAGCTTTTTGCAATTAAAATATCATCATATATATCTCCTTCTTCGAAATATTGCTGATCTCATAATTACCTTGCAAGTGATTGATGCCATGCTCTTTAGCGTCCTTCAGCTTGTAAAGGATTCCGGGGCAGGTAATACTTCATACATACATACATACCTAGGTACATACATCTATAGGTAGGTATCAAGGACCTTTTTTTTTTTTTTTTCTTTTTCATCCTATAGCTAGTTATGTACGTATATACGGTAGGTAGGTAGTATCGATCGGCTCGCTCGCCGGTCAACCAACACATCCATCACACAAGACCCCAAGAAAAAAAAACAAGTCGTACAGGAGAAAAAAAAAAAGCCCCCTACACAAAAAAAAAAAGAAATCGTGTGCCCAAACTCGGAATCGAACCAAGAATCTCATCATTACGAGTGATGCGCCTTACCATTTGGCCATTCGGGCTGAGAAGTCATGTCTGTTGGGGGGATTGTGGGGGTGTTGTTTGGGTGCGGTTGTTTTGCGTTTGTTTGAGGGAGTTGGGGGTTTGGGTGTGCACGTGGTCGTGGGGGGGGGGGGGGGGGGGGGGAGAAGGGTGTTTTTTTTTTGGTAGCACCCCTCGGGCAGGCGCATGACCTCATTACTTACTTTGATGTGCAGTCACATGTTTGTTTACGATAGGTACGATGGATACGATGCTTACTCGCCCTGTGTCCCCGCCCGCCCGCCCGGCGGGAAGTAGGAGGAGGGTGGAGGGATTCGGCGGTAATGTAATGAATGCATGAGCTTGATGTTCACGGTTCTCAATATGCTTGGTGCTGTGGGTACCTTACCTAGGTACCTCTTTACCCCACAGTTGCGGGGGGGCTGTGGAATGTGGGGAAGCTGTACATGCGATGCGTGAAGCCTTTCGCCCGAGGATGAGGAGGGCAGGTTATTTGGTTGAGCGATGACCGTGGGAGGGTTGGCGGAGCTTAGGGGGGTGGATGGTGGGGTGGACTGGGGACTGGGCCAGCCAGATCTGGACGGACGGGGCGTCTGATCTGATTGACTGACTGGCCCTTCACGGTCCAGCAAGTGGGAGGGGAGGAAGGGAGGAAGGGAATTGGGTATATAAAACGCCCCTCCCGGATACTTGATACTTGCCTTGCTACACATTCCTTCTATTCCTCCCGCCCACTCTCGCCCGCCTCACGCACCCCACCCTCCTCCATCGACGCTCCGCCCATGTTCAACGTGCTTAGCCGAGGCACTAGAGCCTCCGGCGTGCTTAGGACGCCCATTGCCTCGGCATCTCTGGCAGCCACCCGCCGCACAGCTCCCACGCTGGTACGTAGCCTCGCATCGCACCCCCCATCAAACTGGCCGCGGCCGCTTGCTCGGCCACATTCGGCGTTCGGCAGAGCCACGAGAGAGGCCGTCGAGTTTCGCGGCCCCGGAGCTGAGATGTTCCCTGGCGCTTTGCCCTTGTGAGGATGACACGGCAGAGGGAAGAGGAACGAAGCTTCGAATCTCTCCTTCCCAAGTTTTGATCCTTATTTCTATTTTGCATCGACATCTGACATTTCTTTTGATCTTGCGATAAAATACAGACGAGATTAACAATGGCCCCTCAACCAACAAGAAACACACACCATGGCCACGCGGCGTCGTCGCCGGCGCTGCCAGCGGGATACAAGGAGGACCACAGCAAGGGCCAGACCTTACGCTTCCAAGACTCGCTGCCAAAACTCCCAGTCCCCACCCTCGAGGAGACGGCAACACGATACCTCAAGTCCCTCGAGCCCCTCCTCACAAAGTCCGAGCTCGAGCGCAGCAAAGCCGCCGTGCAAGACTTCATCCGCCCCGGGGGCGTCGGGGAGGAGCTTCAGAAGAAGCTGCTCGCCAAAGCCGCAGATCCTGCAGTCAAGAACTGGATGATTGATTGGTGGAACTTCAGCGCATACCTGGGATACCGCGATCCAGTTGTTCCGTACGTTAGTTACTTCTACTCGTACAAGGATGACAAGAAGAGGAGGGACCCCGCGGTTCGGGCCGCGGCCATCACGACTGCGGCGCTGAGCTTCAGGAAGATGGTGGTGGAGAACTCGCTGGAGCCGGAGTACATGAGGAAGGCGCCAATCTGTATGGACTCGTACAAGTACATGTTCAATGTCTGCAGGATCCCGGAGAAGCCGGCGGATTACCCAAAGATTTACAAGCCGGAGGAGCACAAGCACATTATTGTGTTGAGGAGGAATAGGTTTTACAAGGTGCTGCACGAGGTTGATGGGAAGCAGCTGAGCACGAAGGAGTTTGAGCAGCAATTGAGGAGGGTGCTTGAGCTGTCGAAGGGGGATGATAATGCACCCGCTATTGGCGCCCTTACGAGCGAGAACAGAGATATCTGGACTGATGTATGTTGTCTCGTGTATATTCCTTCAATGAGAATGCTTCTAATATTAGTCTTCTTTAGGCAAGGCAACTACTTCTTGCTGCCTCGCCAGCAAACGCTGCTTCCCTCCAGGAGATTGAGTCTGCATCGTTCGTCGTCTGCCTCGACAACTCCTCCCCAGTCACCTACGAGGAGAAGGCCCACCAGTACTGGCACGGAGACGGCCAAAACCGATTCTACGATAAGCCACTCCACTTTATCGTCAACGACAACGGCACCGCCGGGTTCCTCGGGGAGCACTCCATGATGGACGGCACCCCCACCCACCGTCTGAACGACTACATCAACAACGTCATCTTCAACGACAAGGTCGACCACGGCTCGGAGGAGGTCCGATCCAACCTCCCCGACCCCCTCCCACTCAAGTTTGTCGTGTCGAAGGAGGTTGAGGCCGAGATTGCGCGCGCAAAGAAGGACTTTGCCGACGTCATTGGCCAGCACGAGTTGAAGGTGCAGAGGTACCAGGGCTACGGAAAGAATCTGATCAAGCAATTCAAGTGCTCGCCAGATGCGTACGTCCAGATGATTATCCAGCTGGCCTACTACAAGATGTATGGAAAGTCGAGACCTACATACGAGTCTGCTGCCACCAGGAAGTTCCAGCTTGGCCGGACCGAGACTTGTAAGTTTTACCTTACCGACCCCACCATTTATTTGAACGTTTTTTTTTTTTTTTACTAATATATATTTTCCCCAACCAGGCCGAACCGTCTCAAACGACTCGGTCGCCTTTGTCAAAGCAATGGAAGACCCCACCGTTCCCCCCGCAAAATGCGCCGAGCTCCTGCGCAAAGCAATCGCAAGCCACGTGGAATACATCAGCTCCGCCAGCGAAGGGAAGGGCGTCGACCGCCACCTCTTTGGCCTCAAGCAGCTCCTCGACCCCGCCCAGCCCAAGCCAGAGATCTTTGCCGACCCCGCCAACGCATACTCGGGCAGCTGGCACTTGTCGACCAGCCAGCTCAGCTCGGAGTACTTTGATGGGTACGGGTGGAGCCAGGTCATCGATGAGGGCTTTGGCATCGCGTACATGATTAATGAGAATAATATTTGCTTTAATGTCGTGTGTAAGGGGTTGGGCGCGGAGAGGATGGGGTATTATTTGAGTGCGGCGGCGGACGAGATGAGGGAGGTGATGGAGGGTGCTGTGAAGGCGAAGTTGTAGAGAGGCCTTGTGTACTACTACATTGTATTTGGAAGGGTTTTTGGAATGTGGGTGAGGAGGGTAGGAGGTGGTTTTTTTTTTCTTCTTTTGTTGTTGTCTAGATCTTCCCGTATACGTTAAGTTGGATGGAAAATCGTTAAACCTAACATTTGTACATTTGAGCGGTTTTCCTTTTTTTTTTTTTCTTTTTTTTTGTTTTAAATTTTTTGTTTTGTTCTTTTTTTACTACATTGGGTACTTTTTTTTTCTTTTGGTAGCTGCTCATATATATAACATACATACATTGTACTTCTACCTCTACCTCTACCATGTAACTACACGTAATCGTACATTACCCAACCTATAGCTACATCTAGATACCTAATACCTAAGTAGCTGATCGACAATTTTAAAAAAAGATACACCAATTGACTACCTATTATAAGTACTATATGTTTGATTTTTTTTTTTTTTTTTTCCCATGGGACGTCGACGGGAATATTATTCAAAGCTTACGGCTTAATTACCTACTTATGTAGGTAGGTAGGTAGTAAGTAAGTAAGTAAGTACTCAACACACACTTTGGTCAAATTAGGTATGAGGGTAATTCGAATTCGAGTTAACGAATTGGGTACCCGGTTTTTTTTGTTTTTTGTCTATAATTAATATTAATCATGATGCTCTCTCTATATGTATACTTACGTATACCTACACTCTTCGGTTTGTTCATATATAGCTCGTGTGTGTGTGTGTGTGTGTGTGTGTGTGTGTGTGTGTGTGTGTGTGCCTTTCGGATCCAAGAACAGAACATCACGAATCGAAAAGTAGTCGACGTCTTGTAGTAGGTAGCCATAATAAACCTCATTACTCTTTCTGGACCATATGTATATATATATATCAGGAGCAAAGCCTTTCGAATTCCATTTCAATAACCTATACCTATCCTCTACCGAGCTAGAGGGCGGCGTTGCACACCAGACTATATACCTATACCTAACCTACCTACCTACATTAGGTAGGAACATACATACATACATAGTTTTCCTTGAATATCGATTGTAATTATATATATATAACCAGACTAATATATATATAGGTACCTAATTAAGTAACTGAAAACTGGATTTAAAAGGTCAGAGATTCGAAGCATGCGTGCGCATCATTTCCACACTCTAGATCTACGAGGGGTCTGTACAAGTCACGAGATTAATATTCCAATTAATATTCCACACTCACAAATCCCATGGCCACCATCAATATTGCCGCCCATGGATAGATGGAATCCAGCTGCAGTACTACCTCCTAGCTCAATAATATTCAATCAATCCAAAAACTCATAATCAATATTGTAGACCGGTCCCTTAAGCTTGATGATCATGATCATGATCATGATGATATCGCGAATATCAAACCAACATTACCTAACGTTAATGTCAATTGCAACTCAAACTCCACAAGTCATAATCACCATATTCAAATTCAAATTCATGATCGAGACAGTTCAAAATTTAAAAAGGTAATTATATAATCGGAAAAAAAAAAAAAATAAGGAAAACATGTACAGAAACGCCCGCCACAACTAAAATAAATACCTACCGAAGGTATGTAAAACCAAAAAAACAAACAAGAGACTTCAGGGCCCCGGGTATGACTCAAAAAAATAAAAATAAAACGGTTATCTCGCGAGAAATGAGGTAGGTATTTATCGATAGCAATATATAAAGAAGTCGCATCAGCGCTAGCAATTGCAAGTCGAGTAATTATAAGGAGATAAAATAAAGGTAGTACAATTCGCCTATGAACCCCCCCCCCCCCCCCCCCCCCCCACCCAGTCCTACCCATATGTCAACCCAAAGCATCACATTGCTATCACTGAAACAATCCCAT